GTGGGTGTCTATTTGTTACGCATCGGGTTTCGGTTGGTGTTTATATATGTCTATTCTTTTCTTAATATTCCTTTTAAAAGTTCTTAAATTTTATTAAATTCTGAAGTCCCTGAAATTCCTCTGTAATTTTCACATTTTCTTCTATCTTTCTTCACCGCACATATCTGGTTACCTGGTTTATGTAAGCATTCTAATCATTTGTTTTTGTTTTATATTTTCTCATTTTTGTTAGAATTTCTCTTTACCAGCTTCCTTATTGTTTCTGTAATAAGCTTCACTTATGCTACTTGTTCATTATAACTTTTTAGAAGATTTCTAGAAATTATGTAGAAATACTAGAATGACTTTCACATTTAAATTCAAATATTTCTTCTGTTAACAGCTTCTTAGAATAATTCTCTTGCTAATTAGCTAACTTAGTTTCTAGTGATTTATTCTCTTTTCTTTCTCTCCAGAACTACCTTTTTAAATTCCTTCCTAATCTCAGCATAATTTTTTTCCTTTTTCTGTTCTACATAGCTTTATTATAATAGTTGAAGGCAAAATACAGACAGATTAGCATTAAATGCACTCAGACAGTGAGGCAAAATAAAGGGAATTTATTCACATTTTTCAGTCTAGTAATTGTAGGCATATAATATAAAGTTTCAACCTACACTTCCCTTTAGGGCAGGGCTGTGGAGTCGGAGTCGGAGTCGGTGTCGGATGGTAAGGAAAAGTCGAAGTCGGAGTTGGTAGATTTTTATGCGACTCCACAGCCCTGCTTTGGGGCACAGAATGCAATGCTAATTCTTAACTTACACCTTCCTTCTCATCTTTAATAGTCAAAATGATTTAGCTTGTAACACTTTATATCTGAGTTTATAATTGTATCCATTATAAATAATAATTACCACTTTTAATCAATCTTCATATGTTTCAGAGGAATGAACTTTCTTTAAAGATGCTATGTCATGTTTAATTGATTCATAAAACTGTAGTGAGTCACGTCTGTAAGCGAGTTCACTTTGATTTGAAGTCTGTTTTGATCACGAGACCAAACACTTAATCACAGAAAACTGTTTCAACTGACACTGTTGATCCTGGCAAGCTGAAAATGAACTTAGTCAGCTTCTCGACATTCGGACATTCACTTCTCCTTGTTTTCGGCACGTTGAAAACATCAACTCACAGTTTAACAATATCTGATTCATACTTCTGAAATCCTTCCCTAATTTTTCTCTTGATGTCTTTTGCTTGTCATGTTTTTAGTCATCTCTATGATTGAAACCTTATGAAAAAGGTTATCTATATCAATAGCTGCTTTTTACAAAATAGAAGCTACTGAATTAACAAATTCTGCAGATGCTTCATTGAATATAAAAATTTTGGCTTAATTTTATCTAAGAAAACTGTTGTCTGCCTTCAAGACTGGTTTTTCCACATTTCTAAGTAGGCATTACATTGCTCATAAAAGTTTAAAATATGCTCTCTTCTAAATCATTTTTGGCGACATCTCCACTGTTGACATAGTGAGGAAGCTTTTGCTTGAAAAAGTGAGATATGAACTTACTATTTCCCTGGCTTTTAAGTTCAGTTTCGTCTCTTTGTATTTCAATGCTATCTTGATAGCTGCAACTTCATTTCTTTCAAAAACAATACACTTTCTTGAATAATCTGAAGGCTGCCATCAAGAAATAAAGGTAGTAACTCATTGAGTGGGTTTTCAAAAATGTCTCTTATTAGTTTGGGGCAAGCATTTTCACTGTGAAAGAAAGTATGATTTCAGTTCATACCAAATCAAAATAACCCTTTCTATAGCTGATAGTAGGCTTAGAAATCAATCAAGCAACAGAGCCATTACATTTGCTTATACAATGTCGTCACCTAGCCGACAAATGCAATAATAATTATCAAAAATATAGAACTTTTTGTAAGTGGTTATGATTTAACTTTTAACTGTGCAATCAGTTGAAAAGTACAGTAAGACTCCGCTTAATGTGGGGGATGCGTTCCTAGACGACAAAGCGCTAAACGAAACAGCATTAAACAAGGCATGGACACAGACAGCCTTTAAAGTATGGAATATGGATATTGTGCCTAGGGCCTCAAAGGAACATAATTTACTACTGAAAAACACATATATTTCAGCTGTTTCTCCATTCAAACATATACTTTCAGCTTATATACTTATAACTATCTCAGTTAATGACATGCAGTCTTTTTACTCCTTCAACAGTAACATCTAGAAACAGTACCTAAAGAAAAAATAGTTTCTGGATCACTTAGTAAACTTCTTGCTAGAAAACTAGAACTGGTATGCTCATATTTGGATGCTTAACCTGATATAGATGCTTTTCTACATCAGGTTGCTTTATAGGTATTGTCCATAAGGACAATACCTATAAAGCAACCTGATGTAGAAAAGCATCTATATATCCATGTTAAGCTGATGTATTTATAGGTATTGTCCATAAGGACAATACCTATAAATACATCATCTAAACATGGATAACATTGGGTACATTCTTGTATGCATCAGTTTCAGCCACAACTGATGCACTGGTGAAGGGTTTAATAAGTGTTTACCAAATGTCTGTCAACGTTACAGGATGGCAGATGTAAATGACATTATATTGGAATTTGCAGATCTATTTTATGAAAATAACTTTGGATTAATACACAGTAGTAGTAAAAATGGTATTAATTAATAATATATTCATGGAGATGGCCATATTGTTTTGTCATAGATTGCACTCACTGAGCCATGGATATGGCAATGTCCATCAGTTGCTACACTGACAAACTTGGTGGTAAATATTACAATACTTTTTAATATATTGTGGTTCACTGATGCATGCTTGAATGTAACCATTCACTTTCTTGACAAGTATCTTTTGTAAATTGAAAGAAAAGTCCACACTGAAATGAATCTTCAACCAACCTTCCATACTATAATGTAATAACCTCCTTCAATGTGTTAAACTTTTCACTTATCATACTTAAGCTAAAGCTTAGTTCACACTGAGCGCGATTCGCTAGCGAAAGCGAAAAACAGAGCGAATAACCTGTCAAACAAGTCATGTTTGACCGGTTATTCGCTTTGTTTTTCACTTTCGCTAGCGAATCACGCTCAGTGTGAACTAAGCTTAACTGCAGCTAAACTGTTCAACAGAATTATCAGACTAGCCTACAGAAATATCTCAACTATGTAGTATTCTTTGACTTGTGAAGGATACTGAACACATCAATTATATATTGATTAATTATAAGGCCTCTTTCTTCTGTACTTTTACATGCTCTAAGACCGTACAACCTCTCTTCAGAGATATTGTCGGTAATAATAAGTACACGACATTTCAATGCATCCAAACTCCATACTCCCTTCTATGCAATGATAAAGATTCCCTGGACAACAAATGGAAAAGTGAAATGTATTATCACAGCCGAAAATGAACAATTAGCATTAATACAAACCATTTTGACTGAAGATCACCAAACTCAAGAACAGGTCTGGTTTAACATTTCTTCATCTTTCCAAAACTGATATAGACTAATGGACAGCTAAAATCATTAGAAATGTGCAATACATTTTCCATACAAATATAATAAACTATGCAAATTCTTTAAGTAAACAATAACAAGGAATCCTTTTTTCTGGCAGTTTTTCCTTTAACACCATTTGTTGATATCATAGTCCAGCTTTCCTTGTTGGTTTACTCCATCTTGAACTAGTGTTGACCTGTCACATTATAAACAGTCCATTGAGTTAAAATATATTTTTTTTTTCCTGAAAATGCTATCCACTGTTAAATGTGGTATATTGTTTGTTTCGTTACGTCAATTAATTTAACTCAGCACAAAGAAAATGTCTTAACTGATGTGCTGCCATTGGTAATTTCATACCAATTAACTTTCTCACATTGAAGAATAAAATCTAAATTAATAGACAAACTGCTACTGAAACTACTGTATTATGATAGTAAAAAATGTTGGCTAGATACCTAAAGCTAGAGCAGGTTATAATTATATTATTCTTGCGTCTCCATTTACTCATATCTTGAAATATTCCAGATTTCTGTACCACGTCATCATAACTCCATTAATAATAAATCACCGTGCTATATTTATGAGGGGCAAGCTGAAATATTTGACTGGTATGTTTTTTTTTTCCAGCAAGCATAACTTGTTAGCTATAGTCTACATTTAAGAAAGTAACAGAGCGTATGTTGGAAAAATGCAACTACTTTGAAATTTTCTGTTATTTTGGAGGAACACAGGTAAATAAACTGGTTGAAATTAGCAACTGATTGAGATACATCTTTCTCTGAAATAAAATGTGGTGCTAAGAGATTTCAAAAGATGTGCCTGCTTCCACTTGTGTGTGGCAAAATATAATAACAGCGAAACAAAGCAAAAGAAAAGACAATTGGCATAGGCAGGGAAAAATACCACACTGGACAGTAAGAAGGTGGCAGGTTCATTTTATGATGAAGCAAAGTTTGAGGAAGTAGAGGTAAATTTCCTAGAAAGAAAAATAAAGCCTTTTATGAATGTTGTTTATGTTGTGCTGTTCAATTCCCATCAAGCCTCTTGGTGCAGGATTGCATGAGTGGAAGAGGTAGTAAATTTGCACTTCACTTTACAAACTCATCTTTACATTATTATTTTAGATGAAAACTCAAAGCTATCCATTCAGAAGTTGCATACTGATGGTAATTTCATCTTTGAGCAAGATAATGCCACATACCACACAACCAAAATAGTTAAAACAAGGTTTACAGGTGAGAAGATTGATGTTTTTTGCTGGCTAGCAAACTGTCCAGATATGTCACCAATAGAGAATTGGAGACTATGAAAAAGTGCTGTTAAAAAGTAACATCCTTCAACTAAGGGTGCGACTATGCAGACGCGAGCAAGCGAGAATATGTGGTGAGAAGAGGCGAGACGCGATAAATATCAAAACCTGTCAGATATGTGCGAGAACCAGAAATTTGCTCTCGCTAGCGTTATTTCTCGCTTCTCGTTTGTGCATGGTTTTCCTTTGCGAAAACTAAATCGCTCTTAACCTCTTGCTCGTTCTAAATTCGCGTCTGCATAGTCGCACCCTAAGTATAAATTGGACCAATAATTCCAAAAAAAAGGGATAAAATCATAGAAGTGTGAAAAACTGTTTCCAACCTGCCAGACCAGATATATACTCATAAAAGCAGAAGGTGATGTAACAAAGTACTAAACAATAATGGCCAAACATATTCTGAAATCCTTGACTGCATATGGGCACTACCAATTGTCCTAAAGGGACTTCATACATGGAAATCGTGAGAGACGTGCTGAGAGAAGTGAAGGGGCCACGTTCCTACAAGATTCATCTATCAGACCATAAACCTCATTTATCCGATACCGGTGATTGAATTTTAAACAGCACAGTATTGAGAACAAAATGTATAACAATGTTATTTTCACCAACTGGGCTAAGATATTCAGCAATGTTATTTTACATTGCTATTTTTTTTCCTTCTTGGTGTGATGGGACATAACCTGGGGCTCTATTCTGGTCATCTCTCGTCTCTCACAAGTCGGTCGCTGATTGGCTAACCATTTGTTTATGTCTTGAGAGATCATTGCATCTCTCCAAACATGATTCTGAACAACGTTTTCTCTCGAAGATTCTCTCGTTTCTCAGAGACAAGCGGATAGTTGTCTTTCATCTTTTGCCTGATGTGTGCCATTAGAATTATTCCACACACTTTTCAGAGCATGGTATCTATGCTTGAAAGGATAACTTGTGATGAGAATGGGGCAGATGGTCCACATTCTACTTGTCCCTACATTGTATCATAAAAGCTTAGTATAAATAATAGTTTTTAACTAGTTTATTAAACTGTCAACATAAAATCATTATAATTCACAAAAATTTATGAGAATTATGATTTTATTTACAAAATATGTTAGTTCTCATATTCCAGTTATTTTAATGGTAGACATATTATTACAAAATATGTATTCTCATGGCTTACAGGTGGACTCGTGATTTGTTTTCTACACTGCAAGCGATTAAGGAATTATAATTGATATAAAAATACTTGGATCTTTAAAATTTGCAGGAAATTTTGGAGATGAAAACAAGAATAAAAAAAAATCTTTCACATAGAAAAATGTATTAAAAATGTTTCTGCGTATGAAATATTTCAAAACACGGCACTGCACATAAAGCAACTTTACACTGCCGACAACTATATCTAACATCTCTTCGAACATTATTTGCAGAACAAACAACACATGCACGACGAAGAGTATAATTCGTAGATCGAGAATTCTGATTCCGACAAATAAAATGATTTCCTAATAGTCTCCGAGGTATGTTATTGTTATTGTTCACAGATTGATCTATAATGTTATTGTTATTGTTCACAGATTTTTTTTTAATGATATTGTTAACAAATTGATCTATAATGTCCTTGACTAACTCTGTTCTGAACCTCAGATGAGTAATGTTATGACCACATTTTTTATAAACAATGAAAGAATTGAAGATGCCGATGTCTAAAAGCTGAAAGAACAACTTTTTGTAATAAATTTTTGTCATTACTTTTCTATGTGAGAAAGTTTCAATGCACAGATTCAAAAGATGAACTCCTCGCATTCCTCTTTTATAATCAAAAATAACTTTTGGTTTGGTGACCAGTCTTTTATTAGTATTACTATAAGTTTTCATACTATCGTCATGAATGGTCGAAAGCATTGTTTTCGAACGGACCCATTTTAAAGCCATCAGTTTTTTCCGATAGTACGCAGATAATTTGTTTTGCAGAGTCATTTTCTTTGGCATACCTTCTCTGTTGCCTGTAACAGTTCCTACGGCATCTGTTTTCTTATCCACCAATGCATCAAAGAGCATAGGCGATCCATAAAAATCACCAACATATAATCTGTGTCCTAGGTTCAGCAAGCTTTCCATCAGGGTCAACACTATTTGACCAGGTTTATCGAAATCTTCGAGGTTAATATCTTGTATCCTGTCGGGTATAACTGTGTCACCTCCGGCATGCAACATTAAATTGTATACGTATCCCGTAGACGATTCGCATAACATGTACAACTTTATCCTCACCCTGCTTGAATTCCATTTAAAGTGTTCTTCCCACATCAAAAAGCTCTCGTCGATACATACGTCCCTCTCCGGGGTATACGTCGACTGCCACCTTGCCAAAAGCTTATCTAAAACTGGTTTTATCTGAAGTAGATCATAATTTGAATTTGATTGAAATGTCTTCTGTTCGTTATTGAAATGCAGAAACGACAACAATATCAGAAATCTGTCGCGACTCATTACTTGATTGAAAAAAGGAGTTTCGACAATTTCTCTCGTACTGAAGTACATTTGCACCGTCGGTTTGACGACGATACCCTGAAGTATAATTAACGCAAGTAGTATTCTTATTTCGTCGGGATTTGTATCCGTCCACTTTTTATCTCTACTATTACGTTTCTGCAACCCTTTCTTTTGCCGTAACTCGATACAATCGTTTGCATACTTATTTGTTTCTTTCACTATTAATTCAATTAATTCTTGTGGAAAAAAATAATCAAATATATCTTTTGGTGTGGGGTTTTCACTGAAATTTATATGTATTACGCCTCGATCGTGAGCAGGAAATGGTTCTCTCGGGCCTGCCGTATCCATCCAATCATCAATAATTTCTTCATCTAGGATGTTTTCGCTATCATCAATTTCTTCATGTAGGATGTTTTCACTATCATCATTATCATCCTCCTCATCATTTTTTCGTTCTTCTTCACTACTATCGCTGGATGTTGATGTACTCCACAAACTGTCGCTGTCCGATATATATATACATTCAAACTTCCGTTTTCTGTCGTCACGTGTCGAAGGCTCAACCTCTTCGTCCATTGTTTACAGAAACGATTTAAATATTAATCACAGAAGCCTTTTCTTTCTTCGTGCTCTGAGACGCCTGGAAATGTCTATTCTATTCTTCTCCTCCCTTGTTCACATTGAGATAAGCCTAAAAATGTCACATTTCCGCCTTTGTTTTCAATTACAGTGTGACGTCAAGTTTCTTCTCTTGCACTGTTGCCAGCTGTAAAATTGACTGTCATTTTGAAAAAAAAATTGGGATAAATATCGATTAAATAATTAGAAATTCTGTAAAAATTTGAATTCAGTGTTAAAAGATTGCCATTAATTTTAATACTCAATTATAGTAAATCGCTTACGGTAAGTTTATAGCAGTGAATGGGGGAGCGGGAACCCCCAAATTGTAGCAATCAAATGTTTGATGATCAAAGTTTAGGGACTCTCAAGCGAAGCTTTTTCCTTCCTGCATCCATTTCTGCTTCCACTGAAACATCCTACGACTATTGAGCCGCCATCAGCGAACCACTCTCTGGCACGAAATGCCAGGGTGGTAGCCAGAATGGTAGCCAAAAACATAGCAATAATGGCTTAGCCCGAAGGTTAAGCTAGGCTAGAGCACACAGCCAAAACGTCGCTATCAAAGGCAGGGCGTGGAAGTTTACCAGGCCCTAGAGTTACTGAATCAGACCGCTTGTAGTACGCCCTGCACTTTGATCTTAGTCAAAATGCCGAGAATTGGTTAGCATGTAGCCATAAAACCCTATCAGCTCGTTATTCATATAATAGGACCCACGTCTGAACGTTTTCGAAAAAACCGAAACCCTGAAAATTGAGTGTTTAGCTAATTTGTCTTTGAAGTTCCACGTGTCTTCGAAACGGCAATAGCCGCGTGGTTAAAACGCTAGGCACTGGATTTACATGGCTTATTTTCGAGCCTTATCAATTTTAGCGTTTTAAATGTGTGGCATAATTAGTTTACCGTATCATCAGCATAATTATTAGCGATATTTTAACTGTAGAAATTAAAAAACCGTGCCGTCATTTCATATTTTGTGAAAAATAAATTGCAAATTTCACTGTTTTATAAGGTGAACTAATGCAATAATTAAAAAAGTCAAGTAAAAAGAGTCACTGACTGAGAGGCGCACCAGTGGCCAAGCGGTTCTGTTCCCTGAAGACTGGGAATTCGCAGGTTCGCGCCTCGCCAGGACGGACTGGCCACGTGTGGTTTTTCGGGAGGTTTTTTTAAGGGCCAGTTACCCTTAAAAAGACCTCCCGGAAGGCATCCCCTAGGCAGATCACCCAAGTGTTGCGTTGCCGTAACTTAACTAAACAAACAAACAACACTGAGATTTGCAATTTTCAGGGTTCGATTTCTCCACCCCACAAACACCTGACGTGATTCCGAATAACTCGTTCGAAAAAGAAGTCGTTTTCTTAAGTAGTACGAAAAATTTCAAGATTTTCTATGAAGCGGTTGCCGAAATATAAGCAATTGAAAAATGCAAAAATCTCCAAAAGAGCTGTATTTTCTCCTCTTCCTCCTCCAACCGGTACTGCAGACGCCCGTAAAGGAAAAAAACAAATGGGTCTAGAAAGCTCAGATTTTAAACTTAAGCCTTTCTCGTTATCAGTGAGGTGCTGGCCAAACTTCCGGGTCAATAGGTCATAGTTCACCTGGGTTTCCCGTACAGATAATTCAGTTTTGCGGCTTAATTTTATGCCTACAAGGATAAAATTGCATGGAAACATGAAATATTATGGGTACAACAATAATAATAAGTTAGTTGTATCTACTGTCCAACACCCATTTGCAGACATTCCGGTTCAAAGCTTGAAGACTTCTCGTTTCATATCAATACCACGACCATCTATTCCAATTTTTTAAATTGATATAAAAAATAAAATTTTAATACTCCATAATTAATAAATTAAAAATATTAGATATAATATTACACTATTAATAAAGATTTATATTTAAAAAAAATATATACTGTATATATATTTGTTATTACGAAAAAAAAAACTTCAGGTGGCGCTAACGATTGTTTACACGTGTAAGACGAACTCGTTCCACGTGGTTAAGTGTTATTCAAAAGAAAGAGAAATCTGAATATCGAAATTAAGTTTTAGTAATGTATATTAATTAGTTTTTGATTATTTATTAATCGAAATTCAAAATATTCTAAAATAAGAATAAATTTCAATGCTTTCCATTGAGAATTGATATATTTATGTATAAGATTCTACAAAATGGGAAGGTTTTTCGTGTCTAGAACATTGTAATCACATAATTAGTTATATATCGTCTAAGAAAATGAACGGCGCTCTGTCTGAGTAAGTATATTTATTAATAAATTAACCTAATGTAATAATATATATATCCAATATCAATATAAATCTTGATAAATATGTAAAGTATATTTAAGATCACTTTATCAAAAATGAAATTAAAATATGAGAAATTATAAGGTAATAATCGGTGAAATATGTATTAAATAATTATGTAAATAAGGAGAAAAAGTGACGAGCGTTACCTGTTACCGCCGCCATGACAGTTGGTAGTCGGATCGCTCGCCATCTACCATCTACGTTGTAGGCGATAAAAAACTCCACGTAAATGTGTTAGTAAGTTAGAAAAGAAGGGGAGGGGATCAAAGAAAATATTACAGTTTCTTACACAGCGGTGGGTGGGGGTCTAGAATGGCCCATTTAACATAAGACAGGCCAATATTACGCAAGGTATCATCATGCCAACATTACGTACGGATTACGTAGAACATTACGTAGAAGTATCATGTCAGCATTATCTATAGGTATCTTGTATAGGATATCTGTGATAAACTTTCACTTTTAACGCTGCTTCTAGAAGATAAACCGAAAACAAAACCGAAACTAACAATTACCAGTTTTATGATAACATCTGACGTACTACCTAACAGGGCCGGATTAACCCACTTTGGGGTCCTAGACATTTTCTTCTTGCGGGTCCCCTCCCGGCTCATTCAATTAATAAATCTTAGGCGTTTCGTAACACCAGGTAGTACTCCGTGATGACTGTCCGGGTATTCGTGATGCACAACCCCCTTTGCATCGAAAAAACAGTGAACATCACCTTAACATTTGAGCGAACTTGTCGAGATGTTTTGGGGCGGGGGGCTGTTTCACCCATTCGTGGAAAGTTTCCGTGAAGGATTTTCCGAGTTTCAAACAGAATTTCACAGAACAATGCTGTTCTTTCAAAGAGATGATTTCCGCGGATCCGAATTTTCGTCCAACCCCACAAACACCAAGTGAAGATCTTATTGCCCTTCCTTCCCAACTCCGTCCCGTAGAGTTGGTTTCTTGTGTATCACGACTCTATGTATTGAATCTGGTTCGTTGGAAAGCACACCTCCACACTCAAATTGAATATATTTACAGTTTATTTACAGTTGTAGAAAGTACAAGTTAGAAACATAGCATATGTACAGAATAACCATGCGTGGTGAATTCACGTGCCAGATTGGCGTCTGGGAACTAATAACCTTTGGAGAGACCTCACTCAGCTTGTGGAGCCGGCTCAACTGCACGGTCGGTCCGGTCTCGGCACTAACCCGTCTCTGAGAAGATCAACAGAGGAGAACACTCTCTCTTTACGCTCAGCCGGCTTCCCAAGTGCCTAAGACAACCGTGAATCAGTCTCTTGCCCTTCTCTCCTCCTCTCTCGTTTGCCCTGCAATTTAAGGGATTTTGGAACGGGGACTTCCGACCAATCACAACCCTTTTTTTATGCCCGAACAGCTTACACTCGGGTCCGCCGTCATCCGACGAGAGTGAAGCTTACACAAACGTCCGCCACTTGTTGCCTCTGACTGCAGGTGGGTCCAATTAACACAACCGGCGCTTCCTTTGTTTACCCTTGTTTACAAGTCAATACTTTACAAGTGGTATTACCCGACCGCACGTGGGTCCAATTGACAAGGTCGCGCCTCTTTTGTCCCCACTTTGCTAAAAGGTCACTACTTTACACACCACTTCACATAAACGGCCGTAGCTAATCACCAAAACAAGATATCAACAAACGGGTTGAAGGAGGTTACTCGGGGGGGGGGAGGGTTTCCGCGGACACAAGCCGATTAAAAAAAATAACAAACTGGAGGCGCGCTATTCAAAAAGTTCCCGAACTTTTTGAACAACCCACGTACATTTTCTTTAAATTTTAGAATTCACAATAACCATATAAAAAGCAATATATTTTTGTTTATTTGTTTATTATATACTGTTATCCAACAGAAAAGTAAACTAACTTATTTACAAATCTTTTCAAAATATACAGTTTGACCGGGCACTAGAGTCCCAGGGGTCGGCAACCTTTTGAGTCGGAAGAGCCAAAATTACAATTTACAAAATTTCAAAGTTTTTAAAGAGCCACAAAATTTTTTCTTGCCAACAATAAATAGTACTCGCATAAATAAAGTTTTTTGATAAAAAAA